TTTCACATTGTTTTTGTATACCCAATTGTCTATCAATTATGGATAGGCAAGTATCACTTCATCATAGGTCTAACTTCACTCATAGTACAGGATTCAATTGATTGTCACTTTTGGACAATCAATTGTTTATCCACCATAGATTTGGAGGTAAGGTCCATGTCTCCCTCCGTTGGTGTACTAGTTGTTATCTTATTTATAAACCTAACCCTAGGCACAAGGCATAGTGGATTTGACCCAAAAAAATGTGCGGACCGTACATGGAATTGTGCAGCCGCAGAACCTCCCGAGGAGCATTTTTGTCAGCGAATTTTGGGCCACTATAAATAGACGGGAATCATATTTTTAGGTCAAGTTTTGAAGTTCTAGCAGTTGTAGCCGTTGTAGTTTTCCATTTTAGGAAATTTGTGATCATTTTGGGATATAAACATCATAGTTTATCATTTTAATTTTATATTATGATTTTAATTAGTATTTCTTCTTTGCTTTCTTCATTTTCTTGACAAGAGTGGGTTGCTCTAGTGGTGAGCACCCTCCATTTCCAACCAAGAGGTTGTGAGTTCGAGTCACCCCAAGATCAAGGTGGGGAGTTCTTGGAGGGAGGGAGCCGAGGGTCTATCGGAAATAGCCTCTCTACCCCAGGGTAGGGGTAAGGTCTGCGTACACACTACCCTCCCCAGACCCCACTAGTAGGATTATACTGGGTTATTGTTGTTGTTGTTGTTTCTTCATTTTCTACTATGAGTAGCTAGACATTTACTAGAGTTGTGACCCAACCCTAGTGTGTAAACCTTATGGGTGTTTACTTTAATGCTTGTTTATGATTGGGTGTTGATTATTTAGCCTTGTTCATGCTTTAATTTTAGAATTAATGGTTGCAAACATTTATTCATACCTTTTTGACTTGGTCTTTACTTGAGAAATAGGGACCTAGTCTTGAAAAACTTGGCTAATAAGAAATTGGCCAAGTTCAGGATTTGACTAGTCTAATTAAAGGGTTTGAACTGGAGATAGAAAAAATCCGACTTGAGCTCATGTCAACCATTTAGCTTGATACCCATTTGGGCTTGAGAAAGCTAAATTGGGCAAAATCACATAATCACTCGATGACCGAGAGATATTAAGTGTGTAACTTAGAGTTGAGAGCTATAATACACCCCAAATCAATAAAATAAGTGTTAACGTAACTAACCCATTAGGCGAACACCTATGTGAAGGTCAAATCCCTAGGCCTTTTAACCATTTGGTAAAAACAACAAAAATAATTATTTGATTTCTAGTTTTTTCTCATTAGTTTATAATTGTTAGTGTTAAGTTAGAAGTAGAAAATAAAATTCCCTGTTTGGAAGCGCATTTGAGTTATTTCAGTTACTCTCATCAAGTGTACACCCTAACACCTATATTAAACTCCCTGTAGAAATTGACCCCGACTCTTGTTGGGTATTATTCTTCCAACGACCGTTTCCACTCACTATTGAGTGCGGATTGGGCGTGGGTCAGGCAGGTGTACGTTGAAGTCTCCGGGATAACTAGTCAATCACTAGCGTCCGACACGAGTGCATGTACCTGGATCTGCACAAAAATATATGTAGAAGCGTAGCATGAGTACACCACAACGGTACCCAGTAAGTATCAACTCTAACCTCGGTACAGTACTGACGATGACAGGTCAAGATACTCACTAAGACAAGAAAAACTGAACAGAGTATAATATAGACTAGTAACGGAGAGCAAGGAAATGAATGATAACAAGCAGCACAATAATATAGACTAACAACAGAATTTAAGGCAATAAATACAACAAGGAGTGAACACATGATAAGCACAACAAGTAATTCAATGCGGACAAATACAAGTAAGACAAATGAGGGAATGACCAAAATCGTTCAACCAACAAGCCTTTTTAGCAAGAATCATAATTGAGGTACCACGCCTCATATCCACATTTCACAATTTAAAATTACAATCTTTTCTTATACCGCCGTGTGAGCCTTACATATAGATATTTTGAAAATATTTTTTCGAAATAGCTATACGCGGTTGAGCCCCCTTATGTCGTTGCGTGGCTTTAAGTAATTTCCTTGCTAGCAACACGCACATAAATCCAACCTTATGTCGCTGCATGCACATCAACCCGTATCCTTATACCGCTGCATGCGCATCAATATCACAACACAATAACAACTTGTACCACACGTGCCCATATGCCAAAACTTGCCAAAATCAACAATATCAATGTTACCATAACAAATAGCTCATGGCTCGACCACAACATGGACAACAATCTCAATAATAATAGAATGAATGGGAATTTCTCAACATGAAAAGGTATCTTAATAATCAACAAATTCAACCTCAATGAGATATTAGTTTTCATAACTTCAACGTCATTGACTAGAAATGAAGGTGCTTCCACAAAATGACAACTTCCAATCCAAGTGTATAGCATAAGCTTAACAATAAAAAGATAGTACAAAATAGCAACTACTGGCCACCAACACAGATGGTTTAGGTCTAGCCGGCTGGGTATAACATAAGCTTAATTCCTCTCTTTTTATCTCCTCTTCTTTTCTTTTCTGGGTCTAGCTGCAGACCACCGGCCAACACAGCCACGGGGTTAAACCCATCGCTGATGAACTCTAGGTGAACTCCAGGTGATTGCTCTAACGACTGGCGGCCCCCGGCTATCCCTTTCTCCTGCTTCTTCCTTCTCCCCTCTCTTCTCTCCCCTTCCTATCTCTCTTCTATCTCTCAGGCACCGCAACCGCAGCTAATAGTTAAATGCTGAAATAGTCATTGTCGTGACGCTATTACCGGGACGACTCGGGTAGTTTGTCTCCCCTTTTCTTTTCTTTTTATTTTTGTTGGACCCCTGCGTTCGTCTTTTCTCTTGGTTAGGGCAGTAGAGACGACTTCGGCCAGGCTCAAGCACCGACGAAGAGATGTTCAGTAGGCAGCAGTAGCAGCACGTGGAGAAGCACATCCTGACATCTTCGACTATAATCCAAGTTCATCTTTCTTCATTCGTCATTTTCGCCTTCGCTAGTTCGTATTTGCTTCTTTCCCTTCATTAGTGATTATTGTGATACCTTTTTTTCCCGTTGCCTTGCTTGCACTCTTTGGCTGTGTTCAATACATTTATTTGTTTATGGTTGCCTCACGTCTACCTTTAGTTGAACTAATCTCTCTAGTTTAGAACTCAACACTTGCCTGCTTTTCTATACTTGTAATTAGTTCCTTTAAATTTTAAGTTTTAGTCCATATTCTTTTATTTTAACTCTTTGCTTGCATGTGCTAGCCCATTATTCCTTAGATTATAGTGGTTGTGGTGAGTGATGGTAGAGTGAGGTCATATGTCCTCGGGTGGGGTAGAGGGGTCAAGGGTGGCAAGAGGGTCAAGAGAGCCTCTAGGCTGAAAGTTGGGTCCTGAAACATAGGGATACCGTACATCAACAGGAAAATCTATAGAGTTAGTTAAGATTCTCCTAAAAGGGAAGATCAATATAGCTTGTGTTAAGGAGACTAGAGGGTAGGACTAAGGCACGGGACGCAAACGGGTTTAAACTGTGGTACTCAGGAGGCGTGAGGGGCAAGAACGTGGTAGGTATTTTGGTTCGTAGGGATTTTAGAGAACTAGTGGTAAAGGTTAGAAGGGTGAATGACAGGCTGATAGCTATTACACTAATCGTTGGAGGGTTTACTTTAAATATTATTAGTGCATACGCGCCTCACGCAGGCTTGGGAGAAAGTCAAAGGCACTTTTGGGAGAATTTGGAAGAGGTTGTGCAAGGTATACCGCACACCGAGAAGCTATTCATAGGAGGAGATTTTAATAGCCACATTAGGATTACTTCTAGAGGATATGACGATATGCATGACAACTTCGATTTTGGAGATAAAAACGAAGGAGGAACTTCGCTATTAGATTTTGCTAAAGCTTTTGATTTGGTGGTAGCCAACTCGAGTTTTCAGAAGAATAAGGAGCACTTGGTCACCTTCCAGAGTAGGGTGGCTAAGACGAGACTAATTATCGACTCCTCAGGAAGTGATATATATATATATA